GCCGTGAGGAGGAAAGTGGTTGCCGCGTTCACATTGAACGCACGACCCAAGAAGTCCGACTGTATGGCCCCGAACAAAGCCTCAAAGTGGCGGATCGTCTACTGAAGGCAGGCGATGAAAAGCAATGAACAGTAGCGAACCTCGCTCCTAGTAGCGATGCCAGGAGCCCCTAGTAGCGAACCTTGCTCCTAGTAGCGATGCCCTTTGTTCCTAGTAGCATTCTTGTTCTTTGTCTTTTTAGACATATTTTGAACATGTTTGCTAACCTTCCATCATGGAGTGGGTGAGTTGTCACATATGGTTCACTAGTCCTTCTCTCTCTTCTGTGAGGAGTTAACGGAAGAAACCGATGTGCAGCAAGTGGAGGGCATGCTCTCACCTGAACTCCTGGAACAAGTGGCTCTAAGACAAGGAGTCACTTTGCGAATGCGTGAGACCTGCATCGAAGTGCTGGGCAGGAAAGCAGCCACTCGAGCGGCAGCGGCTGAACTGGAAAAACTCATCAAAGATCCAACGACCAAGACGGAACACGTCGGAATTTCCGCTCACGTCGGAGTCCGTTCACAAAGTCCAAAGTCGTTTGAAGCGCCTCTTCGTCCGAAAAGCTCAAGACCCGACCGTCAGGGATCAAACCAGACATCCAGCTACCGTAGCTGTGCTGCGCAGCGTTGTCCCACTTGTGGCTGCGGACGCTTTTGTGGGAGCTGTGGTGCCCCCGTGTGGAACATGCCGCTGGGCGTCGTCGGCACCGTTCTCGGCACCATTAGCACAGCTCCGTTGGGCATTTCAGCTTCAGCGGGGCCTCTGGGGCCACCGGTAAATCCAGCGCACTGTGAAGAGGAGAGCCCAACTGCAGTGCACACACCGGATCCTTGGCCTCCAACCTAGTAGCAATGGCCTCCAACCTACGTAGCAATGGCCTCCAACCTACTAGCGATGGCCTTCAACCTACTAGTGATGGCCTCGAACCTAGTAGCCACGGCCTTGAACCTACTAGCAATGGCCTCCAACCTAGGATCCTGCAGATGATTGCCCGCAAGCGATGATGTTCCCGATGATGATGCAGCAAGCCCCCTATGTGATTGTGCCTGCGGACGCAGGCAAGAATTCACTAGAGTTTGTTTGTTTGCGATTGCTTGACTTTTGTGGATTCTTAAACTTAAATTTGAACTCCTGCACAATCTTTTTGACCGTTGGAGGCCCTAAATGCGGTTAGCGTCTGATTTTGAACCCTTCATTTCGAAATACTAGAATGCCCAAAATTGTGGTGCTTCTTGTTACTACTAGTAACAAGTGCCACGCTAGTAGTAACAAGTGCCTTACTAGTAGTAACAAGAAGCTATTACTTTAGGTCCATGGTTCAAGTTTGATGTAATGTTTTGTTTTGAAGCTCTTCCCAGGGACCCATGGCAGTTGGGGCGGCCCATGTTGCCCAACATCTAATTTTTTTGTGACCTTTCTTGGGTTTGGTTGGTATTTTAGTTGCGCCCTTTCCATTTTTAGTTGGCTATTCTGATGGACACTTTACCAGCAAAGAAGCAATATATAAATATACTAAACGGCTTTGTATAGCGGAAAAACCTATCCCTTCGATTTTTTGAATGTTTGTTTTGTTTGTCCACGTGGTAAGAATTGTCCTAGGTGGTTTAGAAGTAGTTCCGAGCGACCTTGGCTGGTTTCCTCCTTTGGGACCGCCTATTTTGCGGAGACCCTATAGCTCGACTGTAACCTGTAGTCACTGTAGTCCTTATCAGCAGGGCCGGATACTGTTGCTCCCTTGCTTCTTTCGTTCGTGCCCCATGTTTGTTTGCTGCCATCGCTATTGGGTTGGAGGCCATCGCTAATTAGGTTCCAGGCCATTGCTAATTAGGTTGGAGGCCATTGCTACTAGGTTGGAGGCTATTTGTTGATACCTTTCTAACTGCTCTCAAGATGCTTTGGCATGTTGATGTGCAAGTCCAGAGAAGATGAGGAAGGCTGTAGCAGTGCTATCGTCAATGCCCTCTCGCTCTCTTCCTTGTTTTTTGGACGCTGTACCTTGTTGTATCGTGATAGGTGTTGCTTCGAGTTGCTTCTGCGAGGCCAGATGGGCTGGCATTACAATTCCTACTGATCTCGAGCTCAGGTTGTTTGCAATCAATTCATGCCGTTCTTTCCTTGGACGTGTTCCCTTTTTGTCGCTCAAATGGCGACGTGCTGTACAGAAAACGTATGTGACTCTGACACAACTGAGCGGAGCAACGCTCGTTGGAGCTCATTTGTCTCAAAGCTGGGCGCTGCCAACAACTGACAGCCAAGTGTAGCGATGACCTCCAACCAGTCCAACTGGCAGTGCCGGCGCCTGTGACGGACTTCGGTTCCGAATTTTGAGAAATACCCGAATGGATTTCACAAGTCTGTCGATGTCGGAGAGTAGATGGAGTGCTGTGACAGTCGCACATTTTCAGGCTGGCTGAAAAAGCAGAGCCACCAATTTTCTTCCGGCTGCGGGAAAGGACACAGAATGAGACGTTTTTGCCAGCAGGCATTCATATCATCACATGTTTTGGTCATTTTGACCAGACAATGATTGGACAATGATTGGACAATCTAGAAGCACATCAATCATTCGGTTCTTCCGCCCATCCTTTCGCGTAGGATTGCTCAGTGCTGTACACACTGAGATTTGCTGACAGAAAAGCGAACGAAATCACTGCGATGTCAAAAAGAAGTTCTGAAACAGGTACAGTAAGAATGGCTTCTTGTTAGCAAGAATGCTCCTAGTCTCCTAGTAGTAAGGCCAGGAGCGTAGCTTCTTGAGACTAGTCTTTGGCGTTTCTATAAAGCACAATCAGACACATTATTTGCTCGTTTTGGTCGTGTGTAGTATAGTGAGGCCTCCAACAATAAAGAAGCACTGTCCGGTGTCACCGGTCGTGACCTAGTAGTGGCAGGCTTGAAACTTCAGAATGGTTTCTGACAACAAAACAAGAAGTCTTCTATATAGAAATAGCAATAGTGATAGAAATAGCGATGGCCTCCAACCTATAAAGGAAGAAGTCTATAGTCTATAAGTGATACAAGAAAGGTAAGGGTTTAGAACTGCCCACTTGAAGGGGGCCTTGTCTGAGGAGTCTCGCGATGGGCACCGTGGGCAGCGTGGGCCTATGGTCTTTTTCTTATTGTGCTCAAGCTTTGCGAGGTCATCGTCTCGACATGTTTGTCTCGCAAGCAAACACATCGATTTGGTTGTGCGACACATGTTTCTACCGCTCCACAAATGTGGTCACTCCGTAGTTGCACTCGTTCGTGCTTTTGTTCGTTTCCAAAGCTTTTTTTTCAAGTTGGCAAGCTGGGCGCAGAATCTGTGACTTAGTGGTGCCTCGCAGTGATCGCCAGGTCCAGGTGTCTTTCGCCAGATTCCCGTTCTATCTGGGTCCAATTGGACACTGGTTGGATTGCCTACCTTCCCATGTGGCTTTGACATAGATGTAGCATGATGTAGCCACCTTTGCCCTCTTTGCACTCTTTCATGCAGCGACAGGATTGGCATCAATCTTTAAGTCTTTTATGTCTGCGTCTCATCTCATTCAACATGGAGACTTGGATCTATTTGGGACTGTGTATTCGATGGATCCAGTGAGCCTTTCACAGATAGAGAGAGAGAGAGAGATGCAGAAAGGGACAAAGGACCGAAGAAAAGAAGCGCCGAGATGTTACATGACGCTACCGAGTGGGGAAGGAGGGAAGAGAAAAGGCATAGAAAGGCCAAGAGTGCCATTTGCGCCAGACGAGTGATTCATTCCACCCTCAAATGATAATAGTAGTGGCCTCCACCCTAAGAGCGATGGTCTCCACCCCTCAAATAATACAATGGTGTTTTGTGATGCTGCATTGAGAATGACATTGCCGCTCAGGATTACTATTGGAAGCTGAAGGACAATGACATGACATGAGTGTGCTTGAATTAGAATGTCTTTGTAGAATTCTGCTCAATGCTTACATATGAAAAGCCTACATGCTTCATCATGCTTCTAAATGAAAAGCCTTAGGAGCAAGAAGCTACTAGGGACTCCTGGCATCGCTACTAGGAACAAGAAGCTACTAGGGGCTCCTGGCCTTACTACTAGGAGCAAGAAGCTACTAGGGGTTACTAGAAACTACTAGGGTAACAAGTGCATCCCTAGGAGCAAGGGAAAAAGCAAGATTCACAGGCAGCTCGTCCGATGCGGCAACGAAGTGTCTCGTCCGTCCGGTGACCTCCCGGCGCGTCTCCCGGCGCCGTCGAGTGCCCCGTCCGTTCGTAGCGTCCGATCCCTCCGTTCGTAGCGATGCCCTGACCGCTCCGTTCGTAGCGTCCTCTTGCTCCTAAGAGCGATGTCCTTTGCTCCTAGTAGCTTCTTGTTCCTAGTAGCGATGCCAGGAGCCCCTAGTAGCGTCCTCTTGCTCCGTTCGTAGTAAGGCCAGGAGCCCCGTTCGTAGCGTCCTGGCCTTCTTGGAGGCCGTTGCTACCAGGTTGGAGGCCATCTCTAGTAGGTAGTGGGAAAGACAAAGGATCTCACGATGCTTAACAGATGTCTACAAGGTCTTACGGAGTCTTACTGTTTATTCAAGTTCCTGAAAACCGAACTGTTTCGCTCATGCGAAGGGTTCTCCAGTTGAACCCAAAGAAACTGAACTATACGCGTTGCATGCCAGTTGGCTTCTTAGCTTCCTTTCGAGTTTAGTAGCTGGCGACCCAGCTTCCAATTACCTTCCCCTTCGTTTATACATGAAACCACAAATGAATGCCTGCAGGGGTGGTCACTTCTCTAACGGAATTTGCAAGTCTAGATTGGGATCTATGTGCTTGATTTTAGACATTTTTAATATCAACGAACTCGCCAACAGGCAGACGCTTCCAAAGCAAAGCTGTCCGCCTTTCACTACAAGATGAGGCAAATACTTTGTTTTTTTGGCAGCGCAGATATTTTTTCTTGTTTGCCCGTGCTTTTTTTGTGTCGATACATGCAACTTCAGTGTGATCTTCATGTTCTACACCAATCTGTCCTGGAAAAGCATAGGAAACTCACACTGCACTTTCAACGTTGGTTTCTGCAGGGAGCAGCAGCCACGAGAAGTGGAAGAGTACGACATTTGGACTTGTTTGGCCTATTGCCTTTACTCGCCACTTTGGTTGGCTGGGCCGACAACTACTTTCAATGCTTTCACCTCGCATCTTCGTGACAGGCGCATCGGAAAAGAGCCAAAGATTCACTTTTGCATCGAAAAAAGAGGAAACAAGTAATAGTAAAGATGCAAAGGGCATCGCTACTAGGAGCAAGGACGCTACTAGGGGCTCCTGGCCTTACTACTAGGAGCAAGAAGCTACTAGGAACAAGATGTTTACCGTTTTGTTTGCCACTCCCGTATGCTTTGTGTTCTTTTTTAAGGTCTCAGGAAGCCATCCGTGGCTGGCGCCTCGTGGCATACGCTTTACGCTTTGTGTTCTGCCTTGGACTCTTGGAAATCATGTTGCTGAGATCGAATGAGATATGTGTTTGTTCATGGTGTTTTGCATTTGTTTGGGAGGAAAACAAAAACACACATTGTGATGACTTGCTGATTTCTTCCGTTTAATCCAAATACCAATTTCTACAGGTCTTGTGATTCAGGCAACGCACGCAACACACTACAGTAGCTTTTTTGATCAGGAGAGACTCCGCTAATCCAAGCTGGGGATCACATGAGCTAGGGGCTCCTGGCATCGCTAATAGGAGCAAGGACGCTACTAGTTGCCTAGTGACAACAAGTCCTTCTTAATAGCGATGGCCAACAACCTACTTCCAACCTAGAAGCGATGGCCTCCCTTCTTGGTTAGGCTTCATTACTCCCCAGTTTGGGCAATCGGACGATCATCTCTTTATTTGAAAGTTCAGCGACCAGATCTCCTAGCGCTCCTTGGCAGATGACCGAGCAATGTGGAGCAATGTGGAGCAAGCCTTGGGATTTGACTTTGTCCATTTCACAGGTCATATGCCATGATGATGCTAATTGTGAAGTCCTCAGCTGGAAAGGACAGTTGACTAAATCTGGAGGCTCAAACTTGGCCCAGGCGATGTGGATGAAGTTCCTGTGCATTTGGCGATTTGCACGCTTGTGGGCCCTTTGCGATGGCATCGAAGTTGTTGAAAACATGCAGCGGTGTATTTGTATCTTGGTATCAACAGAAAAGTACTGTTCTACCCTTCTTGTTTGGTCTTCTATTCATTGCTGGCGCAATCAGTGTCCACGATTTTTCGGTACACCGTTTACACCGTTTACACCGTCTACACCGTCTACACCGTTTATACCGTCTACACCGTTTACACCGTCTACACCGTCTACACCGTTTACGCCGTCTACACCGTTTACACCGTTTACACCGTCTACACCGTCTACACCGTTTACACCATCTATACCGTCTACACCGTTTACACCGTCTACACCGTAATCAGCATAACCAGCGTAAGCAGCGTAAGCAGCGTGACCAGCATAATCGCCGTAACCGGCGTAATCGGCGTAACCAGTGTAACATAGTGTAACCAGCGTAATCGACGTTTTAACCAGCGTAATTGGCGTAGCCAGCGTAAGCAGCGTAACCAGCGTCATCAGCGCAGCTAGCCACCGCCAGCGTACCAGCTTGCAAACCATTCGCGGACACGCTTTGCCACGTCGCTCGACTTCCAACTTGTTGCCTCGTTGGTTGAGAATCACAAGGCGTACGGCATAAAGCACATGTTCAAGATGGCCCTGTTCTTCTTTGCTGGTTTCTTGCTTTGCAAGTTGATACCATTAGCTGAGGCAATAACTATTGCATCACCAGCTTCTGGCGCGGATGGCATCTTCTCAGCAGTTGCGCGACTTTTTGTTTAAACGTGCAGCAGCCTGAAGCGTTGCTTTATTCTTTGAGTTCTTTCGATGAACACTGAGGCATGTGAGTTTCAACCGGTGGCTGATTCGATATTTGTATATCCCCTTGGGTGGCCAGAAGCTGGATCCTCACCGCGGATTGAAAGACAATCTTAAAGAGTGAGGCATATTTGTCAGATTTGGAGTTAAGTTGTCCTTTCCTTTTTTCATGGCCTCCACCCTACTTGCGATGGCCTCCACGCTACTTGCGATGGCCTTCAACCTACTTGCGACGATGGCCTCCAACGTACTAGCAAACCATACTAGACCTTTCTTCCTACATAGTAAAACAATTTTGTTCGAGACAAGTGTCCCAAGGGAATGGTCAGCAGGACCATTGATTCTTTAAAGCCCTAGTCCAAGGTATCGCATGGTGAACGTGTGGCTCGTTTTTGGTTTCGTTGCCACTTGGACGGAATTCCAGTGAGAACACTTGAACAGTCTTAGGTTGCTCGAGTTGAGGTTCAAGAAAGAGGTCTACTTCAATCCCTTAAAAGAGCAAGAAACGTTGAGGTTCGTTCTTGTTCCTAGTAGAAATGCCCTTGTTACCAGTAGCTTCTTGTTACTAGTAGTAAGGCCAGGAGCCCCTAGTAGCGTTCTTGTTCCTAGGGTTTCAGTCATGGGGCCCATAGGGCCTGACCAAACTGAGGCTGTTTGGCACGATGCTGAGCTGAAGCTCCTCGCTTGGGGCATGCTCAATGCTCTCTTCATGGTGCGGTCCAGATCAAAAAACACAAACTGCAAGAAGCTGAGGGCCTTACTACTAGTAACAAGGGCATTACTACTAGTAGCTGAGGGCATCGCTACTAGGAGCAAAGGTCATTTCTTCTAGGAGCAAGGATGCTACTAGAAGCTCCTGGCATCGCTACTAGGAGCAAGGACGCTGCTAGGCTCGGACCGCTGTGTCCAGGTGGGTGAGTCGTTGGCTGCGTGTCTTTGGCGAAGCAAGGTATTGACCTGAGCACTTGACAGCACTGAGTAGTGCACTTTTCGTGAAGGCGTTTTCGTGAAAGTCGGTGCCAAGACGGTAAGAAGTCGGACATGCGAAGACAAAATGCACTTGTTAATACTAGCGATGCACTTGTTACTAGTAGCTTCTTGTTACTACTAGTAAGGCACCTGTTACTACTAGCGAGGCACTTGTTACTACTTGTTTAGTACACTTCTTGACTTCGTGTCGTTGCATGACACTTCTTCCATACAACTTCCATGCCAATGCCTGCTCTTGAAGCGGCAGGCATTGGCATCCGTGAGATCTTTGCCCGAAGCGGCGAGGCAGGAGTGTTCGCACTGCAGGGCTCAGGCTTTCCCACAAAAGCGACGCTTTCGATTGAGGATTTGAGAGTTGGTGATTTTTGTTACTAGTAGCTTCCTTGTTCCTAGTAGTAAGGCCAGGAGCCCCTAGTAGCGTCCGATCGCTCCGTTCGTAGCGATGCCAGGAGCCCCTAGTAGCGAACATGGTTACTATATATATATATAGTAGTTCTAGAAACACCAGTGTGTTTAACATGTCATGTCGCAGCAACTCTGGGACACCTGGACCTGAGGAAAACATGCTTTTGGCAACATGCACTTGTTTCTACTAGTAAGGCACCTGTTACTACTAGCATGGCACTTGTTTCTACTAGCTTCTTGTTATTACCAGTAAGGCACCTGTTACTAGTAGCGATGCACTTGTTTCTACAAGCATGTTTGTTTATGCGAAGCAAGTAAAGAAGTACTCGCTGCAAAACACAACATATTTTGAAGGCTGCCACGTCATGCCAGACGAAAGCGGCTGTCAGAGCGGTTCTTGCTTTGGTTGCGTTTGGGCTTGGCTTGCTTGATTTCTATCAACATGCGTGTGTGGCTACATTGCTTGCAGTGCACTCCGCTTTTGACCAGGGCACGAATGAAATATATTTGAAGCATGTAATATTTCTTTTTTTGGGGGGGTATCGTTGCTATCCAACACCAAAGCCAGCACGATATCGATCAGGATCGATACGTAAGTATTTTTAGATATTCTATGGGATCTCTTTGCCATTTCGGTCACAATCCAACTTTCATGTGGCCACCGAACTACAGGAGTTTAGACAGTTCCTTTAGTAGTAAGGCCAGGAGCCCCTAGTAGCTTCTTGCTCCTAGTAGCGATGCCAGGAGCCCCTAGTAGCGTCCTTGCTCCTAAGCCTGAGATGTCATCGTTTGATAACCCCGTGGAATGTGTCTTGCCGGAGTAGATGAATAAAGCACACCAACGAAGAATATGTATGAGCTCCTACAGCGGTCACGCCGCTGACAAATCTTGAAAACAACATCCTATACGTGACTTCTTTCAAGTCTTCGCTGAAACATCAAAACTGTAACGCAATTTGCAATCCTCCATCATGTCAATATGCAAACGTGCAAAGTCCTCTTTTAGTATCCGCAACAACGTCGCAGCAAAATAACAAGGTTAATAGGACAATCAGGTAAAGTAGAAATATGGAGACGCAACTAACTGTTAATCTAAAGTCTATGCACTTTCTAAGTAGAACATATGGAGTATAAGTAGAGATTAATCCACCTGACCTACCTCCATGCCCTTTAAAGTCTACTTAATAATACTATAGATAAGACCTGTAGTTAATATAAACGGTTTAAACGTTTAAACCTGCATCAATGCAAAATGAGGACCGCAAGGTATAAAACTAGAGTGCAATGTGTGCTTTCTTCCTACTCCCGACCTCTGGAACTTGTCCAAAAAACTAAAAAGCTTCTTGTTAGTAGGAGCTATGCCAGGAGCCCCTAGTAGCGTCCTTGCTCCTAGTAGTAAGGCCAGGAGCTACTAGTAGCGGCATTGCTCTTAGTAGCGATGCCCTTTGTTCCCAGTAGCGACGGCCTCCACCTAGTAGCTTCTAGCTAATGGAAAGCTTTATTGTTGTAGCAACTTACACGTTTTCACTTCTCACCGCAGTGACAACAAGTTGTAGATTTGCACCTTGTGTGCTTTTGTGCCGAACGGCATTGCACCGTGTAGTTCCCAACCGAAATCACAACAAAAACTAGACCACAGCCATGCATAACTTCGCCAGCAAACTCCTAAAACTAGTGCAAGGTTTCCCTTCTTCCAATTCACGTCCTCTAGAATTTCTCCAAAGCCACGGAGTCCACCAGAACCTTTTCACAAGCTACTGAGCCTCTAACCCCATTGGCGCCACCCAACCTGCGCTTTGGTTGCTTTGGGCAACCCTGCAATCCTCATATTTCCTGATGTCGTTGTCCCGCTTTGAGCAAGCAGCAAGCATGCTAGGTGGATTTCCTGCTGTGGCCCCATAAACCTAAGAGCGATAGCAAAGAAACTGCCAAACAGGTTTATCTGCTTCACAGATGTCGCTCAGTATTTGTCTAAATCTGACCGCGACGCAGGTGGATCAGAGCAGCTGCAGGAGACGGGAAGCGACCAAAAAACAGCAGAACCGTCTCCATCGGGATCACCAATGCTCATTAACAAACAGCTATTATTTAATCTTAATTCTAATAGCAAACATTGTTACTACTAGTAAGGCACTTGTTACTACTAGCGTGGCACCTGTTACTACTAGCATGGCACTTGTTTCTAATAGCAAACATTGTTACTACTAGTAAGGCACCTGTTACTACTAGCGATGCACTTGTTACTAGCGGATCCAATTCCGGATCGGTGCAGGAACGACCTACGTCTATGTGTTGTTCTTTGTAAACCTCACGGGCTACGCATTGGGAGTTGGAGGAACCTCCTCTTTGACTCAACATACCTTTCTAGTGGACTGGGCTCCTGTGCGAGCCCCAGGCAGTGGCTGAGATGCACAGACGCGATGCAGTCCGCTAGCTAGTCGAGCTGAAGCAGTCCGCAGTGCCTGTCTGCTTTCTAAAGCCAAGCGCAGTGCTGCAAATAGCTACTATAGTAGCGAACCTTGTTACTAGTATGGCCACGTCCTAATGGCTTCTTGCTCCGTTCGTAGCGATGCCAGGAGCTCCGTTCGTAGCGTCCTTGTTCCTGTGCTTCGTCTCAGGGCCTCGAGACGTTGCTCTGCAGTTTTCTCTTCCTCTTCTCGGGAGTTCAGGCCAGTCTTCTCATGGTCAGAACCACAACATGGCGCCACAGCCATCGGTTCAGTCCGTTTCATCAGAGGTCATGCTTGAGCTTCGTGAATGTGGGCTTTGCGTCGATGGAGCGGGCTGATGACCAGGAGCTGTTGACCTGTAAGTTTGTTGGGAGGCCATTGCTATTAGGTTGGAGGCCATCGCGGTAGACATCTCGATGTATTTCACTAGGCGGAGTGACCTTGGGCGATGACCAAAGTGACACTCGCTGCTTGGAAGCATTGAGGAAAACGACGAGCAAATCCACGATAGGTTGTGAGTGTTGAGAACGGACAAGTGATTTTGATGATGCTATCACATAAATTTTGGACATGTCTATAACTTTTGGGGCGGGTTGTCACGGGTTTTGTTTGCGTTCCGTGGTAGTTGCGGCCCAAGAAACATGGTAGTAGCATTGTAATCATCATCGTCACCAGTGTCATCAGTCTGACAACATGTTCATTTGTGCACAACATCGTCACATTGTCATCGAACGAGAGTGTTAAAGTGGGGTGGGTATGTGTGTTGGGGGGGTTATCATTTTAATCGGTTTTCATTGTCATCGGTTTCACAACATTGTTTGTCAGCGCACGATGATAAATAGTTCTGAAATGTTCTGAATACACTCTTGTCCCAGGAAAAACGTCATGACTGCTGAGGGAAGCTTCTAATGGAGGTATACATTATGGTACTTAAGCAAGCATCAGGAGCCGGCATCCAAGACAGCAGCTCGCATTGAGGAGTTGAATTGCGTCAAGCGCAAACAACAGTAGTAGCTTCTGTTACTAGTAGTACGGCCAGGAGCTTCCAGTAGCTTCTTGCTCCTAGTAGCGATGCCCTTTGCTACTAGTAGCTTCTTGCTCCTAGTGTGTTTTCAAGATTCTGCTTGAAAGTCGGGGTGCTTCGTTGCTACGATTGGGCTTCTCGCTCCAGATCGCTCCAGTAAAACAAGAGTATTGAAGAAGCGGCCTGCACCGAGCCTTCCATTTGCTAGCCCTATACATGTAAAACCCTGCACAGAACCATGCGAACAGCTACCAAGCGCAGTTTCCGGGCCAGGAAAATTTTGTGGCACTTGAAGGCAAAAAGAGAGGCTCGAAACAGATCTTTGGTATCCTTTTTCGGCTCCTTCTTAGTTGTTTGCTCCTTTTGAACCTTTTCCTTCGTCAATTCTCCGCACTTTCGCTGGCGAAACCAGCCCACAAGTCGACTTAATGCACTCGACATATGCACATCCGCTAGACAGGACGACGACGACACCTTGTAAATTGTACCTTGCCCAATTCTCGACCTCCGTGGTCCAAACATACACATCAGGAGTTGGACCGAGTCGTACTCACAGTCATGGTCAATATACACATGTCAGCCCACTAGAATGCTTCTATAATAAGTTTTGATTGATAGTCTGTCATCTTCGGTATGCCAGAAACGACCTCGCCAGATACTAAGGTCAGGAAACTCCAGCACAAGCTGGGGGATTTCATAGATTTGTTCCTGGTGTTTCTATTTGTGCAAAGGAACATTTGCAACAAAGAGGGAAGTTCTGCGTAAACCGGCAAATCAACTTTGTATAGGTATAGTATAGTATGGTGTAATATTTCCGTATGTTTTGTGTTTAGTATGTCGGTACGTTTAGCAGTGTACCTTCGTTGCTTGCTTCATGCAGCAGTCACTGTCCAATGGGTCAGTTCACACGTCAGTCCGCACGTTCTTCCCGTTGTCCCAAGTACTCATAGACGCTCATAGAGCGCATCGAGTCTTAGAGGGCCTTCGTCAGCGGTGTCTTTGCAGAAGTTGCAGAGCAATGCCCTTTGTTACGTTCGTAGCTTCTTGTTCCTAGTGGCAATGCCAGGAGCTACTAGTAGCGTCCTTGCTCCTAGTAGCGGTGCCCTTGCTCCCAGTAGCTCCTATCGCACCGAAAAAGAAAAGAGAAGACAGAACATGGCAGACACAGGATGCTCCGTACTTGCGTGCACTCGTAGTTTGGGCAGAGGGAACGGCGACAACCAAGACGAGCATTTATGTTTCGCTAGCCAAGAACATTCAACTGGACTACTGTAAGCTACTAGTAGCAAAGGGCATCGCTACTAGGAGCAAGGACGCTACTAGGGGCTCCTGCCCGTACTACTAGGAGCAAGTAGCTACTAGTAGCTATATAATGCAGATGTAGTTACTCTGGGCGACTCGGTGAGGTATTGAGTTGAAACTTATTGATTGAATTAAACTCAATTCAAAAGAAAAATACGTTGTTCCTAGTAGTACGGCCAGGAGCCCCTAGTAGCGTCCTTGCTCCTGAATAAATTGAATTGAGTTTAATTGACATTGAATTTATGTTAACGTGTTTTGAATTGAAATTACGTGAAATAATTCAATAGCCACCTAACTAAATTCAGTTAAATGAACTTCAATAACACTACTCGCTATACTCTGGACGACTCGGTTGGGTTTTGTCAACTCAGGACCCAAATGATTTTCTTCGCGTCTTCGTGCAGGAGATGAGGGCAGGAGGCAACTGACCAAGTTGGAATCCGTTGCCTGTTCTTTATTGTTACTAGTAGTAAGGCACTTGTTTCTAGTAGCGATGCACTTGTTACTAATAGCTTCTTGTTACTACTAGTAAGGCACTTGTTACTAGTAGTAAGGCACTTGTTTCTAGTAGCTTCTTGTTACTACTAGTAAGGCACCTGTTACTACTAGCGTGGCACTTGTTACTACTGTACACAGTTTACCAAAGTTCCTTTCCCTGTTTTACAGGTGTTCACGTTCAAAATCGTGTTTTTTCATGTTGCTTGCCAGGGCATGTTGGGCCTGGTGAGCAAGCTTCGTGGTGTAGACGTGAGCAGGCGGTGAGCTGAAGGTCCGAGAGGTGCAATCGAAGCTATCTTCAGCTGGTTGACCAAAAGAGAAAGATGAAGAGGCGAAAGTTGGTTGACCAAAAAGTCCGTGAGGGTTTGGAGCTAGTAGTAACAAGTGCATCGCTAGTAGTAACAGGTGCCTTACTAGTAGTAACAAGAAGCTACTAGAAACAAGTGCACGGTCTATTCCACTTTTGGTTTGCCTTTTGCATTGTTTTACGGGTCGCTCTCAGGCACTTTTGAGGCATGGCAGCATGCCGATCAAGTGTAGCATTTTTTTCCCCTTCACACATGTCATTTGGCATAACATTGATGTAGCGTCTGGTTGTTTCGAGCAACATCTCCGAGAGTGCTCTCTTTGTTTGGAGGTTGCCTTGCGTGGTGTCGTGGGTTTCGTGTAAAGGTGCAAAGGGACCAAAAAGTGCGACAGTAGGTTGGCGGCCGCTCTTAGGTTGGAGGCCATTGCTATTAAGGAACGGAACGAAAAGTGCGTTAATCTAGTAGTAACAGGTGCCTTACTAGTAGTAACAAGAAGCTACTAGAAACAAGTGCCTTACTACTAGGAACAAGTGCCACGCTAGTAGTAACAGGTGCCTTACTAGTAGTAACAAGAAGCATTGCTATTAAGGAACGGAACGAAAAGTGCGTTAATCTACAGAAGTTTGCGGCTTTGAGCCTTCCACCGTCGGCAAAGTCTGCTGAGTCTATAGAGTGATGGCCGACTGCATGCAGAGAATCAGAGGCCTTGCGGACGTATTAGGTGCTTTTTTCACGTGGCTAGGACGATCAGGACAAATCCTCGAAGCTGTCACTTCAGTACTCTTCGTTCATCTTCGTCCAACCTGTGGATTTGTTCGCCGGCTTCTCCCCTGTCAACTTGTTTCTTGGCCTCGAAAGAATTATCTCGGCTTCATTGTTGGCTTGAGAATCAATATGCCATCCCAAGTGAGTTCAATTATGATATTAAAGCTGCAAGTCAGACGAAGCTTAGTCAGGCTGTATAAGGGAAAAGTGCAGGATGTGGTCGCATCAAGGTCTAAATGTTTGGTCATTTTGTGAGAGATCAGAACAAGTGGAGGATCGATATATGATATACTCGTAAGAAATCTGCGAACACGTGCGGAAGATAGATCTGTGTCGGAGCATAGCTTTTGTCAGACAGTGGCAAGTCTTCATTCGCCCACGATTGGCTCACAGCTCAAGGAATCCATCAATGACTTGTTTGCTGAAACGATGTTAATGTCAAAGCTGCAAATACAGAGTCCGTTGATCAAGTGTGCCCATGTTTTGCCCCATGCCTTAACTCGGCCTTAATACTCTTTTTTGGTTTCTTTTGTTTCTACTAGCAAACATTGTTACTACTAGTAAGGCACTTGTTACTAGAAGCGATGCACTTGTTCCTAGTAGCATGTGTTCTACGAAGCCGTTGACCGTGCGAACCGCGGTGCGTTCGCAAATGGTGTGATGCAGTGCTCATGGCGGTCCAAGAGACCGAAGCAAGACACTTAGACCGACGCGTTGGACGCACTGTGCGTAGCGTCCTGCCCTTTGTGAGTAACTTGTAGTGCCAGGAGCGGTCCTAGTAGCGATGCCCTGAGCCCCGTTCGTAGCGGTCCTTGCACCTCTTGTGCATTTTGACGCAATGACACTTTCTTTCTTTCGATTTGAATCTTCATCGCTAGCAGGTTACCAGGCCAATGTTGCGATTTGAATCCGATGTCAGGCGTGCGATGCACTTTTCCGCGTGATGCAGGGGCCTTTGTTCAAGAAACTGGGGAGCGATCCTACAAGCCCCAAGGCCGAAAAGAGGAAGAGAAGAAATTGAGGACGGAAGGAAGAACGCAAGGGCATTACGACTTGTAGCGTCCTTGCTCATAGTAGCGATGCCAGGAGCCCCTAGTAGCATGAATTCAAAAAGCGAATGAACGGTTTCTTCCGAGGCCCTAAACCCCTGTTCTATCCTGTTCCCAGAACTTTGTGGTTTTCCTTTTCTTGTCCAAGTCTTTGCTGGGCTTGAGTCTGGAGGGTCTACAACTACAGTCCACTCCGCACACGATGCGGTGTGAATGTTTGGTAAAACAAATTGCACCAGAACCAAGGGCGGTGCTGGGGTTTGCGTCACTACCGTCTCAGGTATTTTTTCTACTTTGGAGCCGAAAACTAAAGTTTTGGGTCAAGAACATGTCCTGCATGATAAAGACCACACGTGCTTGTAGTAGTTTCATTGACATTAAGGCCCTTCCGA